CCAGGGGTTTGCGCCAGCAAACACCTGCATTGCATGTAACCCCGGGGAATTAGCATCAAACGTTCTCCAACGGGGTGTCCTGTAATTTCTTTTGTACTTTCTTCGGGGTTTTCAGGGGTGTGCTTAGGGTGTGCACAGTTGTTTATGGTAAATCAAACATATCAATATTTCACTTTTCAAGAATGAGCGTTTCAACAATTAAATGTTCAGCTGGAATGTCAACCACATTTGGACTAGGGGTTAACATGCAATTCAGGGGTTTGCGCCAGCAAACACCTGCATTGCATGTAACCCCAGGGAATTAGCATCAAACGTTCTCCAACGGGGTATCCTGTGCACAGGTTTTTATGGTAAATAGAAGGGAAGTTGGATACGCTTTTACAGGGATTTTACAGGCATTAGCTCGGTAGCCGCCAATGCTAGATTACCCCACTTCAACCTACTCCAACCAGCACTAATTCACATCACACGCACCCACCCGTGCAAAGCCGCGTAAAGTTCACGTTTTCATTGGCTGAAAGCAAAGAATTTAATTTTGACCAATCACATAATTATATCAACTGAACCAATCAGCGTTATAGCCGTGAATGCTAGATTATCCCAAGTCAAACCACAACCAGCACTAATTCACATCACACGCACCCCCACCCGTGCGAAGCCGGGTCACGTTCACTAGTCACCTATAAACTACTACAGTGCTACCAAGTGCACCACACGGGTACATAGTACATACTACTACAGTACATAGATACAGCGTAGTAGCAACATCACCACGCATTACGTTACTGTATTGGTATAAGCACACAAAATCCTGCACAACGAACCTTTACTGTATTGGTAAAGGTTCGTTGTGCAGGATTTTGTGTGCTTCTGGTGTCATGGTAATGAACCGGTAGTATATTCGACGTGAAAATTGTCGGCATGCATTCAATCAATCAGTAACCAATCACCTCAATTCTACTCAGAGTACCAACTTGCATTTCTTGCTGCACAGGAGTTTGAAATTCTGTTAAAGCTGTAAACGTGGTTTTTACTACCTTGTATTTCTTGTCGCACATTTCGTTGAAATTCCGCTCCCAAACTTTTTTAGACGAATCGAACGAAGAAGATTTCCGGAATATGGCCAAATTCCGAGTTGCTAAAGTCTCTATTAACATTAGCATCCATCGACCTTTTGTGAATAATTCTATCAAAGTAACCTGAAATGGTATAAAAATTGTACCAGCCTGTATGGAATTTTATTTGGAATCGAACAATTGTATTGTTTTTTCGATGAAACCCCAAAACGTGATTGATAAAACGCCTGAAACGCAGGAATGCACGTCATTTTTCACTGTATCATCCAATAGTCTTGCTAAACTTGATGGTCACTAATTGTTTCATTGACTTTTTGTATCAATACTACCTCTATAAATGAATCCGGATAAGAAAAGGTCGCTTGATGCGGACGTTGACTGTAAGCGAAGGTGCCTGGATTTCATTTCTACAGGTTTGTACTACCAGTACAAACACAATTACGGGCTCAAACTTGGGCACATGGTGTCGTTTGCATTTATCGAATTCATTGGCGGATTTGAAAAGTGTGGGCAGCTCCCCCAACGCCTGCTGTTATGTATGCATGTAGGTGGCATCCGACATCAAACCGACAAGTTTGGAGCTTATTATCCATGCTGTACATGTTCTTGGTGACGAGTTTGACTGCGTTCGACGGCACTACAAACAAAGTCGTCGCTTCTGAAATCACGTTGCCGCCGACGTCCTCCAATCGGCCTTGAGCTCGACCTATCTGCGTCGGCAATATTGAGTTGCATGTATCGGACATGAGTAGGTAGCGCACCTTGCAACCAAATCCACATCCCGACGTTACCAGCAAACCACGGCTTGTAATCCACAGTCATGGTAGCCGTAAACCCAACGTGGTCTGTGGCCCTATACAGGTTGTCCACACTGGAACTAATATTAGATGCAAACATAAAAGACATAACGTTAAATATATCGAGGTATATAGTAACTTCGAAATAAGTCGATTTCAACCAATCATAGGTCGTACTACCGATGCCTTTGGCACCACACAAGTTGAATCCAAATCGCACGTTGCCCACGGCGTTCTTCTTGTCTTTCCACCCAACACATCCCAATTCACAAATTTGCCGTCGTGAGCATTCACTTGCGAGAAAAAGTAGTCGTTGACGTCGGCTGGGCGGAGGGTGGTACTGCCAGGTTGTTCCAAATAGCATTTTTGCTACAATCCTACGGACGTTAGAAGCGAATACACCCCTACGAAAGTCCCTTGTTGGCACGTACTCTAGCACGACAAACTCGGGATTTGACAAATATGAGGCCAAGGCCATGGCTTGGTTTGCTGCCTAGACCTCGGTCTACCATTTGTTACGACAGGTCCTAGGACGTTGATAGCACCTGCGTTGTCATACGACGACACATCGGAAAGCTACATTGTCTGGCCGCTGCCATGATGGAGCGGCCGCAGGTGGCAGTAGTGCTGCGCAACTTCCAAACGGTATTCTTGATAGGATTCCGTAACGTTAACGTTTTATTCCATTGGTTGGCATGTAGTACATCCCATATGTACAATTATTAATACGTACCCGGTAGTACTCCGGAGTACTAGTACTAGTATTCTTGTTTACTCAACGACTTTCACGTTTAGTTATGTACGACTGTACCAGGGATACATGCAAAGCAGTAATTGGTTGCACAAGAACGAGCACAGATATCGCCTTTTACACAGTCCTGCTTACTTGGCAGTAATGTACTACACCATTTTTCAATTGACTTGGACATTTTCTCGATGGATTCGGTTGATATACCATTGGATTGAGTGGTGTGCCCATTCGAATGAATGAGTGCCCAATGGATTTGGTACCCACGTTCGGTGTGCCCATTGGATTTGGCACGACCGCCTCGTGTGCCCATTCGATATGCCCATGCGCCTTATAGAATTGGTTTGTACCCAACCAAACAACCTTTAGATCCTTCAAAAGTGTCGTGCACTCTTTACAGTTGGCAAT